CTTCTCCTTACCTGTAAATGGAGCTCACACCATCGCCCTCAGGGCTGCTTACTATAAGGATTTTGTGGGATAACAGTTGTGTGAGCGTCCCAGTTCAAGCTGGGCTCATCTCAAGGGTTCTAACACCAGAAGTCTAAGAAGAGGAGTAGGGTGGAGGGGAGCAGCGTGGAGGTGAGTAGGGTAGAGGAGAGCAGGGTGGTGGGGAGCAGGGTGGTGGGGAGCTGGGTGGAGGGGAGCCAGGTGGAGGGGAGCAGGTTGGAGGGGAGTAGGGTGGGGGAGAGTAAGATGTAGGGAGCTAGTCAGACAAGCTCGATAGGGAACCTATGCCTTAGTGAACACAGAGAAACAAAGCTGCTGAATCTTTGGGCGTCTCCTGCTACTACCACCTGTGATGGCCTACCCCATATGGTAATTAAGTCAGACTTGGAGAAGAGAAGACTGCCAGCAAAAATTGACCCAGTAATTTTTACCCCGACCCCATTTCTGATGTAATTCTGGAAGAGGCCACAATGTTTTGTGACCGTGTTAACAGAGCATAACTCCAAGAGTCCAGAGGTGTCCTACTCCTTTTTCTCCAGCAAGTAGTGCTCTAGAGGCATCCAGCTTCACCGAGGATGAAGTCCCAGGGAAGGACATCGTCCAGAGGAGCAGAGTGCTCAGGGAAGAGTAGAGGCCAGGGGGAGCAGAGTCTTGGGGGAGCAGTGCCCAGTGGGGAGCATGCCCAGGGTCTCTGTGTGACTGGAGGGGCTGCAGCAGTAGGGGGGACCACCAAGTGGCAGGCCCAACAGGTAGTCCATGACCTAATTTGTGAGCACATGGGCTGTCCATAAGCAGATGGGGTAGGGCTTTCTGGACAGTGAGTCACCTCTCTGTGTCCAGCACCTCACACAGGCCCTGCCACATGAAGGCTGCTTGTCCTGAACTGGGGAAGTGGTGTGAAAGAAATATCGCACTTTATTAATTCTCCCCAGAAAGGGCGACTTGGGGGGACTCTTTGCAGGTCAGCAGCCTTGACTGCATGGCCCTAAACAGGCACCTGAGAGGGGTGTCCTGGAGCCCCTGCCTTCTGCCTCTCTGAGACCTGTGCCTATAGATGCTGGGCTTGTGAGGGAGGGGGGAGCACTCTCCTTTGTGGTAGGGGGAGAGCCACACAGGCTCTGACACTTCCTGCCAGTGTGACCTTGGCCTGACCTTGAGGAAGGCATCAGGACAGCAGGAGGTACAACAAGGAGAATGTGGGCTTGGAGACGCAAACCAGGGTTCAAGTCTCAGCTTCAGGAGTTCCTGTCTGGCAGCCCAAGCTACGTGTGAGTCTTCCAAGAGCCTCTGTCATGCTCTTTGCAAAAGTGAGGATAAACATACATTGAGTGCAAGTGCTGAGCCCAGGTGCACCCACCTTTCCCCTCTGCTCTCTCACCTCTCCACTGCTCCTCTCCTTCACTCCCTGCTTCCTCATCTCACTGTCTCTCTGTCTCTCTCGATATCTGCCTGGTGCTTTCTGCTGGGCATCTCTGAGTCTCTCTGGAGGGCAGGGTGGTCTCCCCTTGCCCCTGGCCCAGAGGGTAGGTCACAATGGGGGAGAGAAAACAGCTCACCCCTGCCAGGTCATTGTGCAACTGGGTCCCTTTGATTTTCTGGGCTGCAACTTCATACATGTGACAGCGATCATATTGGCACCCTGCAGCGTTAAAGACAGTATAAATGTGGAAGCCTTTAGGCAAAGGGCTAGTTGACCATATAAGGAAGATTCCAGAGTGTGATTGTTAAGGTTGTGTGTCATCACAACCTGGGCCATGATTCTCAGTGGTTTGGCAGTTACGATGTAGTTTGGCAGTCGTACAATGATGTAATCACTTCCACGATGAGATCTGATATAATGTAATCACCTCCATGATGAGATCTGCTATGAGCAGCCGATCAGTGGAAAGGGAGTTTCCTTTGGGGTATGGCCTACATCCAATACATGTGGACTTTCTGGCAAAGGTCACTGGCTTTTGCTCTGTTCTGGATCCTGCATTTGGCCTGTCAGCATCTGACTTCCGGATCTTGGGACTTGGGCCAGTAGCCTGCCATCTTACCTGCCCATTTGGATTCGTCAGTCTTTGCAGCTGTGAGCCCGCAGCCTGCTGTTTGATCTGTAGATCTTGGGTTCATCAGCCCCTGCAGCTACGTGAGTCAGGAGAAGCCTCCACCCTGATGCTTGACACCTGACCCACGGACTTGGGACTTGCCAGCCTCTACAACCTTGTAAGCTATTTCCTTGAGATAAACCTCTCTCTATATTATATATATATACATGTCACTAGTTTTGCTTCTCTAAAGAATCCAGCCTAAGACATAGGGGATGGAGACCTTGCACTCTCTTGCTCTAGCTGTGGGTGAACAAGTTCCAGAAGACTGGATGGAAAGAAGAACCCAGTGAAATACTAGCCAGAGAAAAGCTCTGTGTTCTCTTCTTGCAAGCCCTATTCTGGCACATTTGTTCAAATCAGTGTGTCCTGAGCCACGAGAAATGGCAGCCCTCTGGGAGTGACTGAGGCTTTGTCCCTAGACAGTGCCACAGGCAGCTCAAGACAAGAGGCCAGCGAGCTCTCAAGGCCAGATAGCCTGTAGCGTGCCTTAAAGGCAAAAAGATCAGGACCTGGTAAGGATCAGTACCCAGGGCCAGAGGAGATGGTCTCAGATTTGGGTGGTGGAGCTGGGGCTGGGGCCAGCCAAGCAGTCATCAAAAGGCTGAGAACACAAGTGGCCTTGAGGGTGGTGTTTGGGTAGAGCTTGGCACTTGAGCAGGGCATGATGGGAGTACCCAGGAAGAGTTGCACAGACCACATCATGCAGACCCTGGTGGCCGGTGGGGAGGATTAAGGCTATTTGTGTCTCTCAGTGAGAGCCTAGGCTTTAATATCCGGCCCTGCTGCCTATTAGATGGGGGAAGAAAATCTTACCTCCCCTGCCCTGACTTGTGGGAGGTCACGAAGGCAGGGGCAGCTGCCATTGCTTTCTTGGAAACATCTACACACTGTGGCAGTTGTGTTGATGAGGATGCACATCGGTAGGGCCAGTATGGAGGGGTAGGTTTGTGGCTGGAGACCATTAAAACCAGGTCTCACAAAGTGAGACTTTTATCACTAAGTGAAACTTCCACGCAGCCACAGAGACACAGCACCAGGACTGAGAGAAGACGCCTGGCTTGTCATCCAACTTTCTGTTTGAAAAACATTGTTGTACCACGTTGCCTAGCATGCACCATGAACTGATAATTTCTGTAACTCCACTACTTAAACAGCAATGTTCTGTTGTATTTTTGTGTTAAAATTGTTGGCTCAATGTAATAATTTAACACAAACTATTTTAAAAAAATGTATATATATATATCTATCTAGAATGTATATAAAAATGTATATATATATCTCTATCTAGAAATGGCCCAGGTCCCTCTAAGCCTCCTATAGGCTGTACTTTAGCCAGTAGTCAGAAGGGGCATGGGATGGAGTCTTTACCAGAGTCTTCCTCACTCCACCCCATTCCATGTGTGGCCACAAGAGTCAGAGGAGAGGATGAAACCCAGAGGAAATGGAAGTACTGCCCTCCCCTGGGGTCTGTGGGTGCTGAGCCCAGTCCCACGGCACAAGTCGACGACAGGGGCTGGGATAGACATTTTGATGATATACTCAAGAAACCCCACAAATGCCAGTAGAACAGGCTACAGTCAATAATGATGAGAGGTCTTTGGAAGCCAGGGAGCCCTCACTCAAGAAGGCTAGACGTCTTATCATTTGAGTACATGTCACCAAGGAGTGAAAATAGTAAACTGCAAATACCAAGAACAAGATGCCTTCCACACGTTTATTCCAACAAATCCCAATCCAGTTCCTATCTCCTCTCTGAGTCTTTGCAGTGGGGAAGCGTAGGGTTCATTTCCTGGTTGAGCTTGTTATTATGCTGGGTAAGGAGCTGTAGAGTGTCCCCTGTAGGCTGCCCATCTCTCACGATAAGTTGTGCCCCTTCCCTCAAGCCAGGAACAGTGAGTATCCTCTGGGACCCAGGGGAGCCACTGTGAGCTGCTGGTCATAAAAGCACAGTGCCAGTGGGTCAGCATCACTCCAGCCACAATGTATGTTGTGGCTTAGAGGGCTTTGGCCCTGGACCATCCTGCAGTTGGTGTTTAGGGCTATTTTCAGTGACTGAGGGGTGATATGAAAAACATTTAGCTACTAGATCAGCACAGACACCAGGCAGTCAGAATATTATCTGGTGCATCCCAGTTGGGTCTCAGCCCTGCCTTGCCTCAACACTCCTGTCTCCAAATGCTGAATTGTTCTTTAGCAATGAAGTGGCTTGTTGAACTGTGATGGTGCACTTGGGAAGGTCCTGGGCTTTGGAGTCCAGCGGACCTGGGTTGAAATCATGCCACAGATGTACTTAACCTGAGTCTTGGTTTCTGCAACTGTAAACTGGAGGTTATAATGACAATCCCACTGGGTTGTGGGAAATACATAAAATGATGTGTGTAGAGTACATACCCATTTCTTTCCCTTTCACTTTCTGAGGTTACTAGATTATGCCCCATTCCTCCTCAACCCCTTTAATTTCCTTAAATCTCTGTATGTCACCTGTCATATTCCTCTGGCTCATTTCTGCTAAATTTTCTGCTGACTCTGGATTGTTTTCCCTTGTACCCTTTTCATTATCTCCCCTTCCACCCCAACAACCCTTCTAGGCTTTTCTCTTCTCCTCAAACCCCCACATCCACTTATCATCTCCTTCCTCTGCAGTTGAAACCAGTGGCATGTGCTTTGGATGGGGGCCATGACAAGGAAACCCAACTTTACCTTGAAGATGTGGCACTCCCTTCCCTTCTCCAGGCTGGCATGCAGATTGACCTAGTCCCTATCAGTTTCCTGGATGATACAGGACCTCTCATTAGGAAGCCACTCCCCTCTCCTGCCTCCCCTCACCCCAACCCAATCAAAACCCTTCCAGAATGTTGTATGGCATGGGCGGGCACTACCTGCACCCACACTCTGCCACACTCATCCCTTCATAGTGGTACTTCAGGGTGGGGACCCCCATGTCGTCCTTGTAGAGAATCGAGATAGGGCTTAGTTTGGTGGGTACACAGCAGGCCTTACCAACCTTCATGGGGAACTTGAGATGCACCAAAGTCTGCACGATGGCGTGCTTCGTTGGGGTCACATCATCAGCAAGGGGGAAGAAGCAGCCGCCTTTACACTCGTATGCATCATACTCCTTGGGCGCGATGATCCAGCTGTCCCAGCCAATGTCCTCGAAGTTCACCCGCAATGAGGTCTTCTGACAGTGGTTGCTGGCCCCAGCGCTCCTTTTCCGCCTGGTTAAAGAAGATCCTGTGGCCACATGGCCGTCAATTTCCTCCTCCTCATCCTTGTCCTCGTCTCCCTCCACTGGGCTATTCTTGTACAACTTCTTAAGCACACTCTCCTGTTCATGGCTGATCATCTCCCTGAGCTCCAGCCTGGTCTCCTTGGTCCCATTGCTTCGGTCATTGGAGAAGACGACGAAGAAGGGCAGGCTTTTGGAACTTGGGGGAACACTGATGTCCAGCTTGTCACAGCCCTTCCTGTGACTCTCCACTATTACTTCCAGTTTATTTTTGTTCTTGGTAGAGTCTGCCCTGACCCATCGCTTCACTGCACTGGAGACTTCAAAGGTCTCCCAGCCCTCATCCCGAATGTCCTTGGACATGAGGAATGTCTTGGTCCCCGAAGAACAATCCCAGGAATCTGCTCCATCAAGAACATCATAAATGGCCATGCTTCCTTTCAGCTCATGAGATGAGTCCTCGTGGTTTTGACAGGAGATGTAGAGTCGGAGCTCAGCCCTGGTGATCAGCTCATGCCTGGGGATGGAGATGTTGAAGAGCAAGATGTGTTTCTGAAAGGGGAAGTCTTCTGTGGCAGTTACAGAGACAGCATCTGAAATGCAAATACATGGTGATAGGCATCTCCTGGGAGGGTCCATTGTCATGACACCAAAGTCGAGTTTCATGGTTTGCATGAATGGGAATCCAGCATGACATTTTTTTTCTTTGTCTCTATTAAATTTCTATTTGGTTTCATTTAGCCCTAAAGGTAGAAAAGTATTTTGAAAGACACATTTAAGGTCTTCCAAAGAAAAGCAGGGGTGGGAGATGCCTTGAATTGGGGTTGACAGTTTCTACTGTTTATCAACCATTTACTATGTGCCAGGCATTGCACATGGAGCTTTGCATAATACTTTTCACTCTAATCTTCACACTTGCCTTTGGAGGATCTAATCATTACTCCAATTTTACAGATGGAAGAATTGGGATTCAGAGCATTTAACAGACAAAGTGCACACATCTAGTAAGTATCCTCAGTTGAAAAAAAAAAAAACCACACACACAGCAAAACACACTATCAGCCCTAGAGGGAAGATTCTGAGTGTAGGATTTTAAAGGAGAGATTGTAGGAAGGGGCTTTGAAATTCCAACATTAAGAGAGTTAAATATTTCAGCATCTAAAATAACTTGGAAATCATCTGGGATAGTATCTTCCAAACAAAGTGAAAGTATGGTATTTTTAGTGTTTTGAGGGAAAAAATACATTGACCTCAACTACTTTGTCATTTCAGGCAAAAAAAGAGCTTCCCCTTGGAGAAATCTTAAATCTTTCTACGTTTCAGTTTACCCACCTGTACAACAGGCTTATTTTACCTGCCTCAGAGGGTTGGTATGAGACTCCGATGAGACAGCTCTTAAGACTTACCCAATACTCTACCTGGCTCACAACAGAGCACAGCGAATAGTTCCATCTCCTCCCCTACCTCCTCTCCAGGCTGACATGTACCCCTACCCTTCCCAAAGCATGTGGCCTTTCACTTAGAGAAGACGTACCATTTGAGCTCCACACATTGAGCTGTTGGATGTTTGAATAATATGAGTGGGGTCTATGAACAGTACATTAATGACCTGAAGCGCGCTTGCTGTGGCAAGCCCTTGAAAATGGCTTTGGGATGGCAGTTGGACACCTAGGAAACTAGCACCCTGCCCTGAGTGCTCCCCTCAACAGAGGTGCCCTGGCGTCTGTGGAGGGAAGCAGAATATGCACCCACAAGAGTGCTGGCCCAGACTGCTGGGGTCTGATCCTGTGCTTCTGGACTTGCACATGTGGCCTTGGGACCACTAGGTGGCTCCAAAAGGCTGCACTCACAGAATTATGGGATTTGGGGATTCAGGCCTCTACAGAAGCGATGAAGCCCTGCGCTCCTGACTGCTCAGAGGAAGACTTAGCAGAAGGGAAAGCCCCTGCTGTGCAGACAGGTGGGTCTGGGTCAGAATCCAGCCACTTAAGTAGTATGTGACCTTGGGTAAGTTCCTCCAGCGTCTGCAAGAGTTCGGAGCCCTCCTTCAGAAAATCATTTTACCCTACCTTTGTGAGGCTAGGAGCCCTGGTGGCACAGTGGTTAAGAGCTACGGTGGGCTACTGCTGCTAACCGAAAGGTCGGCAGTTCGAATCCACCAGCCTCCTTGGAAACTCAATGGGTCAGTTCTACTGTCCTATAGGTCACTATGAGTGAGAATTGACTTGACGGCAATGGGGTTTTTTTGTGTGTGTGAGGCTGATGTTAGGTTACAGATACAGGCCCTGTGTGCGCATCATTTTCTATTCCTCCTTAATCAGGAAAATTATTTTAAAAATACTTAAGTTCTTCAAAGTTTCTCTCAGAAAGGATTTTATCTGAATTTAAAAACCTTTTAATAAGAGAGAAATAAAGATTCTTCCAAAGTCTGAAAACATACCAATTAGTTGAGGGCTAAACAAATTTCTGTTTCTAAGCAGGAATGGGATAGGAAGGGAAGGGGGAGAAAGGGAGGGAAGAGAGAGAAAAGGAAGGGGAGAGGGCAAAAGAGGAGGGG